TGATGTGGCCGAAGGACTAAGTGATCTCATCGATATAAATGCTGAACCGGCTGTAGAAAATGTACAAAAACAAATTATGTCCCAGGCTAAGATATTTGAAGCCATTAAAGAGGCCAGCAAGGAAATATTCCGGCAGAAGAATAGACAAAGAATGAGGCAACTTGAAGAGAATCAAGATACAGTTGAAGGAGTTTAAGCAACAAAAACAAAAGGAATGAAAATGGCAAGAACAAAAAGATATAGAAAGTGCTAACGCATATAGAAAAGTAGCTATAGTAATAAAAACTCTTTGAAAAAAGTAATAAAACTAAAACTAATAAAAAATTTACAAATGCATGTAGCGTTACTACGCCTATGTAGTTAGTAAAAACAGTTCAGCTCGAATTATTCCATATTTTCAGAATCATTATAATTTGGCTCTCAAAGGGCCTTGGCTCAAATTAAAGGTCTTGAATAGTACTAAAAGACACTTCGTGTTCGAAGGATATAGAATTGTGTGAAGGATGCACAGCTGCAAGCAAATAAAAAAATGCAATAAATAATAATGAATTTTTTAAATTGAGGCGTTAACATTTTTTTCGAATTTTGTTTTTCGATTCTGCATGTTTTTTTTTAAGACCACTATTTTTTACCAATTGTTTTAAGGTCAAGGAGTAATTGTGGTCCAATGGTAATTTTTCTTCCGTGAATGGAAATTAGCTCTCAGAACCATTTTATTTCATATCAAAATGCTACTTCTGTCGAAAGCGCTACGATTAATTCGCATGCAGTGTTCAAAAAGCACACTGTGCATTTATAAACAATGTATAAGATAATGAAATGAAATATCTTTCATACTTGGGCGTATAAAATTTTTGATTCTTATTCTGTAAATTTAAGTAAAATTACCACATCATATGATAATTTTACTTTTACAGCTTCTGACTGTCATTCACCTGGAAGTGGTCGGATGTGATTATTTTGCGTACGGTTCAAATCGCAGCTCACGACGTCCAGATATTTATGTCTGCGTATTCTCTGAGTAGCGACCAAACATCCTTTTGGGAGCGAACTAAATTGCGAAGGCGTAAAACCTCGCCATTTGCCACGTAACGCAGCGCAAATTCGGAGTTGCATTTGTGGTGGGAGGCGTTCACCCCGATGGTCGAACGTCTAGCCACAATCCGCATTAAAGCGATATTCTTAAACATCTCGCTCATATTTGCCAATGCCCCCATGGGAGAGAAGGACGAGTTGTCCAAGGATATCTTCTATGAACGCTTGGAGCGTGCATATGAGGGCTGTCCCCTACATGATATCAAAATCATGCTTGGCGATTTTAATGTCAAGGTGGGCAAGGAAGGAACCTTTGGCGCCACTGTCGCTAAAATTCAGCCTCCACAACGAAACGTCCGATAACGAACTGGGGCTGATCGACTTCGCCGGTACCCGAAACATGGTATTATGTAGTACTAGGTTCCAACTTAAAGATCATCATCAAGCTATACGTCACGTCGACCATGTTGTTATAGACGTAAGGCGCGCTTACAGTATTTTGGATATACGTAAACTTCGAGGGCCAAACATCGACTCGGACCACTATCTTGTTGCATCCAAGATAGCACCCGCCTCTGTGCAGCAAAAAACTTGCGCCCAACAATGCAAGCAAAGCTTAACGTCGAAAAGCCAATCACAACAAACGGCCAATTTATTCGCCGCCCGATTTTCCCACATCTTCTCACTGAGAGCGCTCTTCAACAAACCGACATACGCAAGCAGTGTTGCCAGAACTTTTTGGGCCGACCGGCTAGATTGGCAAAAAAAAACGGCTAAAAACGGCTAAAATATTTTAGTGAAAATTCACATGCTTTATTTAAATAAATCGCAAGAAACGAAAGACTAGTTAACACCATTAATTTATATCGAGTGTATATTCCTCATCATCAAATGAATCACTATTGTATATATCACCTGAATTCATTAATTTTAAGAGATCGTCATCTACAGTAAAATTATGGCAGCAGTTTACTTCGCGTTTTAAACCGTATCTTATATATAAAATAGCGTTTAACGTTTTAACGCACATTGGATTTCTTTGCTTAGTTTTTATTATATTCATTGAACTAAATATTCGCTCTACTTCTGCATTACTTATAGGCAAAACAAGAAAACTAAAAACTAGGTTGGAAAGGTCAGCAAAAGGGTTTTCTCCTAGGGCATTTCGAAATTGATAAACTTCGGCTCAAAATTTTACAGTTGAGTCTAAATTACTCCAGGTATGTAACGTTAACCGTAGCCATTGCATCTCTATGGATGTTATTTCGTCGGCATTATATTTGTGTTTTTGTTGCTGTAGTTGAACAAATACTTTTGGTTTAATTACTCTTAATGCATTTCCAACCGAAAAAAGTAAATTTTTTTAGTGTGGCAATATTTGTAGGGAGGCGTTGGCGTAATTCCTTTATTAAAGTGATAATAAAATAGCGACCATTTTCTCGAATTATTTTCTCGGCTTCGTGGTCAAAAGCGTTTGTGCTTACTTTTGTTTTTAAATACTCTTCAAAACTGTGATAAAACTGAAGAAATGGAGCAAGGTATGGTTCCAACGGGGAGCATATAGGATCAAATGTGTCCGCGCTAATAACCACTAGAGAGCATTGATGCGAAAGTAAAACATTGAGTTCATTAAAAGTCTTCATTGGGTCTGCATTATTGCTTTCGAACAACTTGTTTACTTTTTGCACCTGAAAATTAGGCAAATAGTAAAATCCATATATGCAATACTCCTATATTGGCAGTAAGAGCTAGTACCGTCCGAAAACACTACAGTACAGATATATCAATAAACACGTACGAAAGAAAAGGAACATACCATTTATAAATAAACATGTACACAACACATCTACAAAACCGGCACTCAAGTACACAATACATTGACAAAAACAGTACTAGACTGTCTCGCTTTGATTTCGGAATGCTTACACATTGAGATGTTAGCTTACTATCAACATAGAAGTATTACATATATGGTAAAATCGGCTAAAAACGGCTAACTTTTTTTTACAAACCGGCTAACAAATCGGCTGCCGGCTAGATCGAATTTTCTCCGGCTAGTTGCTATCAAAACCGGCTAAATCTAGCCGGAAAACGGCTAAAATGGCAACGCTGTACGCAAGCAGTGGAAACACATTTCTCGCTCATTAAGTACCGCCGCCGAGGAAGAGAGAGGCCGAGATACCTGAGTGCGAAGAGCTTGAAATGCTGGCTGACAGGACAAACGCCTGAAAATTGTATCAGAGAGTTAGGCAACTTACGAAAGGTTTCAAGACCAGGGCCAACCCTGTAAGAACCAAGAGACCGATGTCCAGAACGTACTTAAGTTATGGAGGGAACACTTTTCCACGCTATTGAAATGAAGCAGCACTGAAAGTAGTGGAGAAGCGAATCCGAGCTTCCACACCTTCATTGGGATTAAGGCCGTTTCTAATGAAAAATTTTGTGGAAAATCCACAATAATTTACACATGGTAGAAGTTATAGCACACATCTCTTCTCTTATTCCCTTTAGTAATTAACCGATTCATAAATAACTAAACAAAAATTTTCAAAAGCACAATAAAATCATAATGGCTTTATTTCTATTGCTAGTTGGAATTAAGGCGATATCGAAATTGTGGTTTTATTTCCAATCGCCATTATGGCCTTATTGCGCATGGTGTTATAGCACCCCACCGTAGCATGTAGCGTTCTAATATTTGTTTTATAAAATACTTTAATTGCGATCTTTTGCTGAAGATTGATTTAAGAAGTCTAATGACGTGGGACTCCGTTAGGAATACACTTGGGAGTCTGCCCAAGACAACTGAAGTCTTTGATTTTAGCTTAACGATGCCCGCTACAATGCCTATAAAAAGTGTTAGTAAAGATTATATTGAAGTCACATAAAATTTTAAGTTCAATGGCTTGTAGTATAAACAGACGGCAGCATCCGGACCAACTCGTTAATTCGGAATTATCGCGGGAATTAACTGCAGTTGATCCGGATTAAGTCCTGCAGCTTATCCTCAAAATTAACGCGGATCAGGGAAATTTTCGATGACAACTCTGGCCAAAACGGCCAGAAAGCGGTAGCCGAGTGGTGAGAGCGGCGTACTACAATTCCGTAGGACCCACGTTCGATCTTCGGTTCCAGAAATTGCTAAATATTTCTTCTTAAATTTTTTGATTTAATATTCAACAATTTTATTGAGCTTGAGGCCATTTTTTAATGAAAACTATTGTGTAATTTTTCCACAATAGTTTTCATTAATAAACGGCCTCAAGCTCAATAAAATTGATGACTATAATTGTTATAAGAACATAAATAACAAAAACAAATTCTTTAATTTCACAAAAAGGAGAAGGTTATCAATTCGTCGGAATCTTTTTTTTTTTATGTATGTTACCGCATAACTTTGTACCACGTTAACCGATTTCTATAATTCTTTTTTTTTTTTTTTAAGGAAAGGTATTACCTCACGGGTGGTCCCATATTAATTTGGTTTAAATCCGATCTTTGGATCATGGAGAAATTAACCGTAGTATTAAATTTTTATATGAGAATTTAAGTCGGTTTTGCTTTTTGCTTAAAAACTACTTGTTTCCTTAAAAACTACTTGTTTATTTGATTTTCATATTTTTATTTATTTGTTTTATTTTAAATTTATTAAAAAATAGTGCACAATAACTAATTAAAAACAACACTAAAAAATATGGTTATAACTGAATAAAAAAAAAAAATTATGAAAATTCTACTGGCCGTAGGCCTCGAAACCAGATCAACGTGACGTCTAAGATTTTATGGATTTTGGTGAGTTTTTCGAAATGTGGTCACGAGTTTAGTTTATTTGGATTCAAAAAATAAAACGAGGCTAATGATAAAAATGTAGGTACATATGTAGTATATGTACTCATGTACAAAAATATACTTATCTAAGAATTACTAAAATGTTATTCATTTAAATATTTTGTTACATGCAGAAATACTTTAAATAATCTTAGCACCAACGAAGTTACATTTACGTTTCAGAATCTTATGCCTACTATGTATTAATTTTGGACCTGGGCTTTCTTCGATAGACGTACTTTGACGCCACCTTTCGGTTGAATACCCACGGAGTGGTTATCGATAATAATTTCTCGCCTACTCATAATTTCAATATTGAAGTTTTGTAAAACTTTTACAATGCCCAACTTCGAGTTGATCATGCCCATACGCAGAGCAATACATTGACGTGGGCCAGCGCCGAACGGCATGTAAGCGTTGGCATTATAATTTGGACTTCCAGGCAAAAAGCGATCCGGGTCGTATGTCATCGGATTCGGAAAGTATTGTGGGTCACGATGAATACCGAGCAGCGATATAACAATGGGTATGCCTTTCTCGATGACATGACTGGTGCCGGGTATGGTGTAGTCTTGTGTACATTCACGATTCAAGAAGGGCAACGGATATTTGCGATTGGTTTCTGCAAAAGGAAAAAAAAAAAAAACATTTCAATGATTTTATTCCATTGTTTTGATTTGCGTTATCAATTACCTTGCAAACATAATTCGAGAAAAGACATTTCACGCAAGGCATCATAGCTCAACTGACCGTTGTGGCGTTCCAGCACTTCATCCACTTCCTTTTTGGCGCGTGCCAACAGGTCTGGGTATTGCGCCAATTCGAAGATGGTGAAAGCAGCTGAAGAGCTAGTAGTCTCCTGACCAGCAATATAGAAAATGAAACCCTGCGCGCCAATGTGGTCGATAGTGAATTCGTTTTGTTCGCCAGTGGCTATGGGAAAGGGAATGTATAGGCAAGGTCTAAGATACGGATACATATATACTATATGGGACATGATTTCAAGCGTTTCATACCTGCATTGGGGTTTGTGCTCCAATTTTCATCATCCTCGGTGATTTTGCCCGTGTTCCGTAGCTGCATCATCAATTGCAACATATCTTTGCGTACTATATTGTGTTTCTCGCGATATTCAATTGTCTCTTTCATAATGTCACGCAAACCAACGGCTGTGTAGTTTTTTAGACCCAAGCGAAACATGAATTTGATGATGCTGTCAAGTGCATGTAGGGAAGAAAATGAAGTTAAGTAGTTGCTCTACACAGATATTTTCAATTGAAAACTAGTGTTAAGATTTACATTGAACCCGATTTTCTACATATATGCATATTTACAGCCAGGGTATCTTATCTACATATACCCCCAAAGAACTCGCTGTTGAGTTTATGGCTATCAGGCAAATAACTCCTTACAACATTCAGGGTATTAAACCTAAGGCAGGATGT